GAGCAATACTCTTGCATCACTAATATCCTACGAGTGGCAATATATTCCAATAGTTGGGGTACATCATTCCTTCCATTTATTTTCAAATCTTCATGTATCCTCTTGTCCCAATCAATCTGATTCACCAATCTTAAAGATGTTAACTCCGAACATGGATTCAAAGTAGTAGCCTTTTGGTCACATGACCATAGGTTCCATTTCGAATTCGGTCTCTGATTCTGCTATGTTCCTGGGATTTCGCTCATTTGACCTGAAGGAGTTCTCTCTGTTCGGGTTTTTTGCCGTTGGGTAACTTAAGTTGCCAGTCGCTGGAGATTGAGAATGTTGGACCTGACGTGGTCGAAGGTATCCGTATTCGGGCATTGGGACGCTCATCATTTGCAGATAATCAGTGTTCATTTTAAAGTACTTGGAGTTTGCCTCCTTAAATCTCTTGTTCAGTTCCTCATAACGCTGCAAGGGACCATAGTTTAATTATTCCCTGTCAAATATGCAATTAGTGAGTGGGAGAGGTGTAAAAACTACCACACCTGATGCTCTGATTTCTCCATCATGTCCCCAAGCCATTCACCTAAGACAGAGAAATGTGGCCGCTCTTTTGGATCCACGTCCCAACATTTCCACATGATCTTGTAGCTGTGCAATAATAACAGGAATAAAACACATGTTTCTCTCATACTCAAGCAGCAAAGTTTGCCTTAATATGAACGAAGAACTTATCTCATATTTTCTCATTTGCGTATTTGGGAGCCTCCATGCGATATCCGGTCTCGAGAAGAGGTATGAGCTTCTCGTGATTTATGCCTGGGTAAGGACTATTCCCGAGGCTAAACATTTCCCACAGCGTTATTCCATATGCCCAAACATCTGACTTGCTCGTGTATACTTTGTTCTGGATTAGGGACTCCAACGCCATCCACTTGTATGGCACCGGGCCCTAAGGATTCGGATACTCTGTTCACATGCTGCGCTCAACGCTGGACATAGATAATCAGGAAGACACACTCACATCTCCTTTCTTGAAATACTGATCGTCGAGATATATGTCCCTGGCCAGACCGAAGTCACATATCTTCGCCACATTTTCTTCAGTCAGCAGAATGTTCCTTGTAGCCAGATCCCGATGGACTACCTATCAGGTAGTCCATCGACAATTTCATTGTCGTGCTTCACTTATTGCGGTAAGTAATTCACAAATGGCTCACCTTGCGAGAGGCTAAGTATTCCATTCCTTGAGCAATCTGGAAGGCCCAGGACACCAGGTCACAAGTTTTTAAAGTCCTCTTGAAATCGTTCTCTCCGGTTTGCTGGAGAAAGTCTTGTAGCAAGGAATCCCCTCCTGGGTCGCTCCGCTCGCCTCAAAATATTCAGATCCAATTTCAAAAATAGATTACGTGACATTTCATTTTTCACTGAGAGAAAATCCAGTAATACCATCGGGAGAGCTGGAATCCTGTGTAGTTTCAGGCGTCACAAAGTCAAATGCGGATGGAGAACCCAAGCAGAAGACTCCACTGTCTGCTTCGTCAAATCCTTTTCTTCCGTCGTGCTTGGGCACTGTCTGGCGATGGTTCCTGCAGGACGAGGAACTAACTTTTCGTAATCTATCACGTTAGTTCCTCAATCAATTCTGACCTGCTTGTGGCTATTCGGAAAAATGGTTTGCCTACAAAATTGTGTCAACATGCCCCTTCGATCAACATTGACTCGGCATTGTTTTGCGGAATGAGTGCGCTGTCGAATAATATGATAACGTTGCCGCTGAAATTGCGTTTATGTAATGGAAGTTCGTGTCTGCCTAAGTGCGTTTTAGTTCTATACCACTAGGCCATTACGTACATGACATTATTTTTTGCTCAACTATTCAAGGCTTTCTTTCCTGAGGAAAGTAACTATTTAATCTTGGCACAAAAAAAAACCTCGACAGAGAAACAGCTGAAAACGGCTCCGCGCGGGTGATCGTAAGAGAAAGCGAATAGCGCATGGAAGTCGTACTAATGTCGATCCCTCTCAAGCAGGGCTTCGGAAAGGAATGTTTTTCATTCCGCGTTCCGTTCCGTTCCACTTGAACCCCACGTGTTCCGGTTTCTGTTCGTTCTACGCTGTTTAATTGAGTTCCGTTCGGTTCCACTGTTCCACAGGGAAATTTAGTGTTAATGAATCATTTTTCTTAGCATATTCGTGATACGCCAGAAACTATCCTAAAAATCGGGAGAGAAACGGAAAATTGGTATTGGTATTGCAACGGAACGGAACGGAACTTTTTCGATTTTCGGGAGTAGTCAATTTCGCTCTGTTCCTGTTTTTCGTTTCAGTTTTCGTTCCGTTCCGAAGCCCTGCTCTCAAGTACCGAGGCCGAACGTTCCGAAGCACGGGGAGTCAATTAGAGTCATTCCGAACACCATCAGAGGTAAAGAAGACATTGGGAATGGATTTGGTCTTGCCAGTGGTTCCCAAATGCGCTTAACTGAGATTCTATTTCACTGATGAATATTTTATCCAGCAATCGCCTTCCAGTAAACAAAATCAAAATTCACCATTGAAACACCTGTATATAGAGGCTTTCGACTAATGACGTATATGTTGACGGAAAAAACTTGAAGAGAGCTTCCAGTTGGCACATGTCATACGTTTGGATATTGTTTAAAAAGGGGAAATAAGGGCAGGTAAATTTTGGGCAAAATTATTTACTTTTCAAATTAAATTTGCACCTTTTTCAAAAGCAGTGGTAACGTGAAATTTGTTGCGTCACCCTTGTTCTTCTAATGTTCCAAATGTTATGTGTGTTGCCATCATTTCCACTGTCATAAATTAACATTGAAATTGTCATTTTTTCAAGTTTTGAAAATTCGCAGCTGAATTTGTAGCAAATTAATCATAAAAACATTAAATATTTTAATTATACTTCATCTCAACTTCAAACTGACAACAAGAACGCCCTTCAAACTCGATTATAACCAAATGTAGAAGATTGCTCCCAAATGTCACCATTCCTTTCTGGTGCGAACTACGGGACAGCAATTCTGAATAATCGTTATTGTCCGAGCACTATAATTTTGAGAATTTTCATATCTCTTAGAGAACATTGTGTATGCATTTTTTTTCAAGCAAATAAGTAACGCAGGGAAAATGACTGTACATTTATTACGGAAGTTGCAATGACTCACTTATATTAGTACCAAGCTGTCCCACGGCGCAAAATAAACATGTCTTGATTACAAGGCTGAATATGTTGGTTTCCAACACTTTTCGTTGCATTTAAACCAATTGCTTGTCAGCCCTCTACAAGTTCCCTCACTCCCCATTGAAGAAATAGGGCATCATTTAATAAATCAGATGCAGTTAACAACTTGTATTGTAATCACTAGGGGCATACAGATAAAAATATTGCATGGGAGACGGCATTAGTCACGTTGACGCTGATTTTCCGAAATGCACCTTTCAAGACCATTCGTAACTTTGAACTAACGTAAATGCAGGACTTTACCCATCTTGCACATGAAGCGCCATAGGGAGAGCCGCACGATCACCCTTTGTTCCTATCCGGGGATCAATCTCTCCACTGTGAGGAACAATTTCATTCACGAAGTACGGTCGATGGTGT